GTGTGTGTGTGTGTGTGTGTGTGTGTGTGTGTGTGTGTGTGTGTTTGGAACTTTTTTTCGTGTGTTGCACAACGGTTCTTGTAATAGAATCATTTTATGGGGAAAAAACTAATACTGGTATGGTATTAAAAGTACTAGATTATCTCTAAATCATTAAATGAAAACAGAAATTTTTTCTGGGAAATATTATATATAAATGTGTTATAAACAGCATAACACTTAAACATGTGTCAAAAATATTCCATATATAAGAAGCTCAATAAAATGCAATTATATTATACCTCAGTTAAAATATGACATTTTGGTGTTTAAAAAGTATTGAACTATGGTTGCATTAAATGTTCACTTGTATTCAAAAATATATATGACATATGACATGTTATAAACACCTCATATATATGATGTGTACCTGTTACAACATATGCCACATTATATATGATATATATGTCATATATGTGTGCCATATAGACCTTCTATGCTATGACATACTATGAATGACATTTTAAATCACCTCATGTATATATGTTATATATATTCTGAGACACATGTGACATACTTTAAAACACCGCATTCTCCAATTAATATTAGAAATAACAATTAGGGGCGCCTGGGTGGCGCAGTCGGTTAAGCGTCCGACTTCGGCCAGGTCACGATCTCGCGGTCCGTGGGTTCGAGCCCCGCGTCAGGCTCTGGGCTGATGGCTCAGAGCCTGGAGCCTGTTTCCGATTCTGTGTCTCCCTCTCTCTCTGCCCCTCCCCCGTTCATGCTCTGTCTCTCTCTGTCCCAAAAATAAATAAACGTTGAAAACAAAAAATTTAAAAAAAAAAAAGAAATAACAATCAAATGTTTACTGTAATCTTAACTATTTGAATATTAAGAAATAGTCCTAGTTCATTTGTCTGATTAAATGAAAACTTTCCTTGATGATTATTTTCAGGCATTAATTAGAAGGTTAGTTTTCTGTGTAATGTGATGAATGGAAAATGTGTTTCTCTATATTTCTTACACTATTTGAATAAATAGAAAAGTAAATTAATGAATGTTTATCTAAAAAAAATCAAACTATTTCCGAACACTGAGTTGGTCTGAGAAGAAAAGGTAGGGCTCTGATTTCTGATGAGAGCAGAAAAGAAAATAAAGAAGATAGATGATCTTAGGAATAAAATCAATACTTTCATCTCTCAATCAAGTTGCATACCAGGGCTAGGATATACATAGTCGGTAGATCATATACATACCCAAATAGATCTATAGAGTTTTATTTATGAAGAGTCTTCATACAAGTTCATATATCATATGACCCACAAGATATAATTTTAACTTCATTAGCGTATCCCAGTCATCTGAATTTTATAACTTCTCTTGTCCTAGAAAACCTGATGCAATGAGTGAAATTAGACTAATAAGAGGATATAATTCACCAGTGAAACAATTCATTTCCCATCTGATTTTTTTCTTAAGGTAAAACATCATTTATACTGTGTTTGTTTGTTTTGTTTTTATTGCAAGGGAATCGTTGTGATTTTCCAGAAATAAAACATGGTAGTCTACACCGTGAAAGTAACTATAGACAAAACTTTCCAGTACGTGTAGGAGAAAAATATTGGTATTCCTGTGATCAAAATTTTGTGACTGTTTCACAAAAGCCCTGGGAACATATTCATTGCACACAAGAAGGATGGTCACCAGCAGTACCATGCCGCAGTAAGTCAACCTTTATAATTGTATATGTATAAATATTTCAAATAGTAGAGGGGGGAAAACACATAAGTGAATACAATTAAGCTTAGTATCACTAACATAAGGCCAAAGGATGAATGTTATGAGCAAAAATACCAATATAAGTTTTTTCTTTTATGAAGAGTTCTTCATAAAAATCACACTAAAGATAAAGATAGAGGCTTTCTGAAAATAACTATATCATTTACAAGGACTTAATTATAAACCTGAAGATAAAAATATTTAACAGTGATTTTTTCCCCAGCATTTGGTAGTAGCTTTAATTTTGGATACTTATGCATTAGAGTTTAAATTTTGTAGAAACAATTATTAAATGGCTATTTTCACTGAACTTATGGGTTTTAAAAAATTTTTGTTTCTTATTTTCATTATTTTTAGGACAATGTATCTTCAATCATTTGAAAAATGGAGAGTATCCAAAACAAGGAGTTAAATATTTACAAGGTGAAAATGTAAGCGTTAACTGCAATTCTGGCCACAGTCTTCAAAATGAGCAGACTGTAATGACCTGTACAGAGGATGGCTGGTTCCCTCCTCCTGAATGCATTCCTCTCAGTAAGTAAATGATCTGAGATCCCAGTGTATTATGGTTTTCTAACCCTCATCTATATTGACTGTAACAAAATATTTATAACAACTTTCTTATCTCCCCTATGGAACTACTTAGTTTTATATTTTCCCAAGTGTGTATGAGTGGATATACAAATTTCTTGATACATGTATAGCAAAATAAATGTTTACTGATAGGCATTAGTCAAGAAAACAGTAATGGAAGTACAAGGAAGAAACCTCTAATATAGGGTGACACAAGAGGAAGGAGGTAGATGTGGCGGTGTAGGAGGATCCTAGGCTTACCTCATCCCATGAATACACCTAGATAACTATCAAATCGTCCTAAATACCCTAGAAATTAACCTAAAGACCAGCAGAACAAATTCTGCAACGGAAGGTAGAGAACAAGCCACGTCAATGAAGTAAGATGTGTAGAGATTCAGTTTTCTTCCCCAAACTGAGAAGAAACAGATTGTGAACACTGAGGTGGGAAAGGAGTAGTGGTCAGAGGGAATGGTGAGAGACAGACTGAAACACAGGTGAGCACACACGAGAAAACAAATCTCCATAGCAATTGGTTTGGAAAGGGAGAGGGGCCAAATTTTATGAGCTTTGCAAGCAGTGGGGCTTAAAGCCTAGGGTATTATAAGGACAGTGTACTTGGCCCTGGGAGAGTTCAAACAGCATTGAGGCTGCTCTTGGAGAAAAGGCAAGCAAAGAGCCTGTGGATATACAGCATGGAAACAGCAATCTGAAGAGCACTTGGAGAACACAGTGGGGAGGTTATTTGCTCACCTTGGAGAATATTGCAGAAAGGCAGCCTTCACAGAGACCCCTCTGGGAACAAAGGAACTGGTAGGTACCATTTCCCTCCCCTGCTCTTCAGCATATAGACATGGTCACCTTTGGGAACCAGCACAGGACCCACACTTGCTCTCTAACTTGCTTCTACCAAGCCCTGCCTCCCCATGCTCCAGTGGAATCACCCTTCCCAGTCACACTTGGCCTCAGTCCCAGCACAGGTGGCCCCCAACCCCAAAAGCCCAGACCAAATCCCTGCCCACACCTCATCTCCCAACCTGGGTGTTTGGGGTGCCATGATTCCAGCAGCAGTGGTGAGAAGTCTCATCTCACAAGCAGACCAGAGCACACCAAGTTGAAACTCACCACATTCAGGCCAGAGACCAAACACTGCCCACACAGGCAAAGAGAGCCTCTGCAGATGAGGGGCATGAAGGACAAAACGATCAGGACACAAGAGCAGTGTGAACACACCACACATTGGAGACACTCCCTGAAGTGCCAGGCCCTGGGGAACAGGGATCGCGACACCTCAGGGCACGACAGAACCTCTTTTTCATAAGGCCATTAGTCTCAAGAACAGGAGAAGTAGCTGACTTTCCTAATACAGAGAAGCAGACACAGAAACTTAGACAAAATGCGAAAACAGAAGAATGATCTGTGAAAGATGAAAGATCTGTACAAGGCCAATGCCAGAGATCTAAGTGAAACAGATTTAGGTAACATGCCTAATAGAAATTTAAAGTAAAAATTATGAAGATACTCACTGGACTTGAGAAAAAAAGTGGAAGACATGAGTGAGACTCTTAATAAAGAAATAAGGAATAACATAGCAGAGATAAAGGATTCACCAAACAAAATTAGAAGCACACTTGATGGAATGAACAGCAGGCTGGAATAAGAAGAGGAACAAATTAATGACCTAAAAGACCGTGTAATGGAAAGTAATCAAGCCAAACAAAGAGAAAAAAGAATGGTGCAAAATAAGAATACATTCAGGGGAGTCAGTGACTCCATCAAACATAACAACATTCATATTAGAGTAGTCCCAGAAGAAGAAGAAAGAAAAAACATGGCAGAAAATTTATTTGAAGAATTAATAGCAGAAAATTTCCCTAATGTGGAAGGAGGAAACAGATATGCAGATACAGAAGGCAGAGAACCCCCAATAAAATCAACCAATGCAAACCACACCAAGACATATTGTAACTAAATTGGCAAAATATAGGGCTATAGAAAAAATTATAATAGCAAGACAAAAAAAAAAAAAAAAGGCAGTCGCATGCAAGGGAAAACCCATAAGGCCATGAGAGCATTTTTCAGCACAAACTTTCCAAGCCAGAAGGGAGTGGAATGATATGTTCAAAGTGCTGAATGGGAAATATACTCTATCCAGCCAAGAATATTCCATCTAGCAAGGCTATTATTCATAATAGGAGAGTTTCCAAGACACACAAAACCAGTGAAGTTCATGACCACTAAACCAGACCGGCAAGAAATATTAAGGAGGACTCTTAGAGTGGAGAGGAGAGACCAAAAGTGACAGTATGAAGGTAGGAAACACAAAAGCACTCAAGATGAATATTTCTGGAAACAAATTTCAGTCAAGGAACTCACAAAATAAAAGGATGTAACATATAACATATGACACCATATATCTGGAGAAGAGACGAGTAATGTTTGGGTTTAAACTTATGACCACCAACTTAATATAGACTGCTATATACAAAAAATGTTATATACAAACCTAATGGTGACCACAAATCAAACATCAGTAATGAATATGCAAAGAATAAAGAGAGAGAAATGCAAAATATCACTAAAAAAAACCCCATCAAACCATGAAAGAGAGAAAGAGAAGAAATGATCAGAGAAAATCTTCAGAAACAACCACAAAACAAGTAATACAATGAAAATAAATGCATATCAAAAATTATTTTGAATGTATGTGGTTTAAATGCTCTAATCAAAAGACATAGGGTGACGGAATGAAAAAAACAAGACCCATCTCTATACTGCCTACAGAAGAATCATTTTGGACAAAAAGACAACTACAGATTGACTGGAGATTGACAGTGAGGGGATGTAGAATATTTATTGTGCAAATGGATGTGAAAAGAAGTTGGAATAGCAATACTTATATTGAAGAAAGTAGACTTTAAAACAAAGAATGTAATAAGAGACATAGAAGGACACTACATAATAATAAAGGGGACCCCCCAACAAGAAGATACAACTTTTATGTTGTGGAGTCACAAGTTGGCTGTATAAATATTACATGCCTCAACAAATTCAAAAAGATCAAAGTCACACCATGAATCTTGTCAGAACACAGTGCTATGAAACTATAAGTGAACCACACACACACACACACACACACACACACACACACACACAAATCTGAAAAGGACACAAATACACGGAAGTGAAAATACACGCTAATAAACAATGAATGGGTCAACCAGGAAATAAAAGGAAAAAAAATACATAAACAAGTGAAAATGAAAACATAACAGTTCAAAACCTGTGGGATGCAGCAAAACTGTTCTAAGAGGGAAATTATCGTAATACAGGTCTACCTCAAGAAGCAAGAAAACAAATCAAATAAACAACCTAACCTGGCACTTAAGCTAGAAATCAACAACAAACAAAACACCAAAAAGCAGAAGGAAGGAAATAATAAAGATTAGAGCCAAAATAAATGATATAGAAACCAGAAAAATGACAGAGCAGATCGAAGAAAACAGGAGCAGACTCTTTGAAACAATTAATAAAATGACAAACTGCTAGCCAGACTTATCAAGTAGAAAAGAGAAAGGACCCAGATAAATAAAATCACAAATAAGAGAGGAGAAATAACAACCAACACCACAGAAATACAAACAACTATAAGAGAATATTGTGAAAAACTATATGCCAACAAACTGGACAGTCTGGAATAAATGGATACTCCTAGAAGCATAAACCTACCAAAACTGAAACAGGAACAAATACTGAACAGGAACAAAAACTGATACATGAATTCAGCAAAGTCGCAGGATACAAAATCAATGTACAGAAATCAGTTGCATTCTTATACACTAATAATGAAGCAATAGAAAGACAAATAAAGTGGGGCGCCTGGGTGGCGCATTCGGTTAAGCGTCCGACTTCAGCCAGGTCACGATCTCGCGGTCCGTGAGTTGGAGCCCCGCGTCGGGCTCTGGGCTGATGGCTCAGGGCCTGGAGCCTGTTTCCGATTCTGTGTCTCCCTCTCTCTCTGCCCCTCCCCTGTTCATGCTCTGTCTCTCTCTGTCCCAAAAATAAATAAACGTTGAAAAAAAAAAAAAGACAAATAAAGAAACTGATCCCATTCACAATTGCACCAAGAAGCATAAAATACCTAGGAATAAACCTAACCAAAGATGTAAAAGATCTGTATGTTGAAAACTATAGAAAGCTTATGAAGGAAATTGAAGAGGATATAAAGAAATGGAAAAACATTCCATGCTCATGGATTGGAAGAATAAATATTGTCAAAATGTCAATACTACCCAAAGCTATCTACACATTCAATGCAATCTCAATCAAAATTGCACCAACATTCTTCTCGAAGCTAGAACAAGCAATCCTAAAATTCATATGGAACCACAAAAGACCCCAAATAGCCAAAGTAATATTGAAGAAGAAGACCAAAGAGGGAGGCATCACAATCCCAGACTTCAGCCTCTACTACAAAGCTGTAATCATTAAGACAGCATGGTATTGGCACGAAAACAGACACATAGACCAACGGAAGAGAATAGAAACCCCAGAACTAGACCCACGAACGTATGGCCAACTAATCTTTAACAAAGCGGGAAAGAATATCCAATGGAAAAAAGGCAATCTCTTTAACAAATGGTGCTGGGAGAACTGGACAGCAACATGCTGAAGGATGAAACTAGACCACTTTCTTACACCATTCACAGAAATAAATTCAAAATGGATAAAGGACCTGAATATGAGACAGGAAACCATCAAAACCTTAGAGGAGAAAGCAGGAAAAGACCTCTCTGACCTCAGCTGCAGCAATTTCTTACTTGACACATCTCCAAAGGCAAGGGAATTAAAAGCAAAAATGAACTATTGGGACCTCATGAAGATAAAAAAGCTTCTGCACTGCAAAGGAAATAATCAACAAAACTAAAAGGCAACCAACGGAATGGGAAAAGATATTTGCAAATGGCATATCAGACAAAGGCTAGTATCCAAAAATCTATAAAGAGCTCACCAAACTCCACACCTGAAAACCAAATAATCCAGTGAAGAAATGGGCAGAAAACAT